TTGAGGCGTTGAAGCTTCTCACGCAGGACAGACTGGTAATTCGACGCTTCGAAGTGTTGGAGCACATGCTCACGGAAAATCCCCCACGTGTGCTCCTCCGCTCGAGTTGTCGAAGACCAGTGCAGGAACCATCCGGACGCCGGCTTTTCCATTGCCGATCCGGCGATTCCAGGAAGACGCGCGCTCGTGTCTTCAATTGGAATGTTGTTGATGCGGCAGGCGTTCTCGATCTGGAACAGCCATTCGCGGACGTCTTCCCCCCTCTTGCCCGTGAACTTGGGCAGATGGTTCGGCACTTTCGTACGGTCAGCCATCGCTTGGTTCAGCCGATCGATCTCGGCGCGTAGCTGGGCGATTGTTGGCATGGGCTCCTTCAGGTCAGGTTGCTGAGACCAACAAGTGCTACCAGTATTTCAGGATACGCGAGCTTGGGGGAGGGCGCGCGGAACGAGAAGTGCCGCCCCTACAGTTCAGGCGGATGGAACCTTCTAGAAGGTTCCACGGTCGCCCTACATCCGCCTTTCTGTATTACATACTGAATCTAAGTTAAACTGAGCCTGTCTCTGTAACGGAGTTACCTCCGTTTACGATTCTAGACCTGATAAAGTCCCTCTCTTTTATTAAGGCTTACTGGATGCTGACCTGACCGTTGTTTACGGGCAATGCGTTGGACACAAGAGCGTGTCCAGTCGTAGGCCTGCCTTAGTTTTAATTTTCAATTCACTCTACAATTTTCATCGTGAAGTACAAGTCCTCACCATGATTCCGTGACAGTCTCTGATTGTCTACAACTCTACACCTATCATATCTGATACAACCCCCATCGGATTGAAAGTCCGACACGGGGTTATTTACCTGCCTGCAAATGACTTGCAGCGGTTGAATATCACTTTGCTCGATTCGTGAGTCTACGTTGGAACGGTGAAACGCCCAACAAGTTTCTTTTGGACGGCAAAAGTGATCTGTCCAAAGCATTCGCTAGTATCAACGATTATACCTAATCTAGTTGCCGCTGACGATCGGAATATCGCTTCGACTGATAATCGTGCTACATTTAGTGGCTATTTACTCCTCAATAATCCCAACAGTACACGTAGTGGTGGAGAGCATGTTCAACGGGGAATGACACCCCGCTGAGTATTAAGTACCTAAGTCTGATCAGATATACCTAAATCGGGCTTGCTTGTTTCCGCGATACATCACCGATCGGGCCTCAAAGTTGATGTAAGCAACAATACTGGGAGAACAGCTTTGGGTGGCTGAACAGCCTTACTTTATTGGTGGGAGTGGGTCCAGGGTTTAATTGCGCGATTGCTGTCAAGAGGACACGCAAGCGACGGACCCAATTCCTTGTGGAGTGGGTGGGAGAAGAGAAGCAGACCTGGGAACCGGTTGAAAACTTGTCACAAGTCCCAGGCCTCATCTCAGAGTTTGAGACGGCAAGGCGCAAGAAAGGAAAGAGAAGATGAAGTAAAACCAACTTAAGGGGGGCTCAAAAGCCTACATGTATTCCCGTACTACATCCCCTACAAGTTAAAGCTACTGCTGCATCAGGCGTCTCTTTCGGTTCCGCGCTGTCTTCGAAGTGCGTTTGCCGTGGCGGCACACGTACCCAAGTTGAAGCTGAACGCGACTAATCC